ATAAATGTTTTACCTACTCAATGAAGAAAGGTTTGAAATATATAAACAATTCGAATATTATCCAACACTTTGACATATATTGATCGTGACTAGTGATAGAACCTAAGATGGGCGTTTTTCTTCTTTTAAGAAGTTATTAGTTAGATGTACCTTCATTCCAATGGTGATGTTCACAGTAGAACCCGAACTTCAATATTATTTGCTCCTAATAGTTTCGTGACATTACATCAATCTTTTTTTTTAATAAAGTTTGAAGATTAATATAATCTATTTAATGAGTGTGACAAAAAGCGATAAAATAGTTAAAACGAGCTTATTGTAAAAAAACTTGTATGAAGCGTTGTGATCATTATCTGACAAAGATATTTATTTATTAAAATAATCAATCATTTTCTAAAATCAATAAATAAGAGTACATTAAAAGGAATTATGAAAATATTGTTTTAAATGAAGTTAAAAAGAAATCACTTGAATAATCTATGAACTTATATAAATTATTGATTATGACCGACTATTAATTTGTAAGTTCCAAAATCTTCGGTTCTATGAATCAAATTAATTTTGTTAGTTTGTTAAATACTACAGAAACTATCTATATAGCTCTTGTATTTTACATGTTATTTCCTATTAAAAAAAACTCGTGCGTATAACATAAATTTAATAGCTGTCCAAGTATATTTCCAAAGATGAGGTGTTCGTATATGTATGATAGACAACATTATACACTTCAAATGTATTTAAATAATTTAATGCTTTTACCACTTGTGAAAAAAGTTTATGACCTTCATTGTGACTAGTATATATATATATATAGTTGTATTTTCCCAAATTTGTAAGGGTATTGTTTACTGATCTTTGACTAAACTAAGCATAGCTGATGGATTACAGGGTTATTCATAAAAGAGTAATGAGAATCCAGTTTTTTATGTTTATGATGTATTCACTCATGGTTCATTTATTTATACACATCACATGTTAGAACGCAAACCGAATAATTGCTGGAAAACAAATAGAGTTAGTCAGATTAAAATAAAGGAACGGTATATGTGTAGTTATCTGATAAAGGATAGAAAATATAGTAATCACTAGAAAATTACGGTCTACCTTAATAATAATATCAAATATTATGAAAATAAATATTTATTCATAGTGTTTTGTCAATACATAGTTAAGAATCTGTCTGATAATTATCTATTTTTTGTTGTGTTTCAGTTTATCTATGTAAATAGCGAATGATAGAAATCTGTCGGATATTAATTGAAGTTAAAATATACAAATATGTTTAACATATTTGATATTACAACATATAAATAGATGTTAACATTTGAAGTAAAGTAATATTCACAACCATAATCATTGATCTGAATGAAAAACTGTTTTTACTGGTAGATTTAAAGAATTCGTTACTTAAGCTGTTTAGCGTTTCCTCCCTACTAATTTGAAAGCTTATTTATCTATCTACATGTATTTAATAAGCAAAATAAATTTATTTAATTTTAGCTAAACAAAAATAAATAGTTTCAGTGGTTGAAATCATGAGTCAATTGAAGCTAGACCACCGTGGAAAACCTGAAAGCACTGGATGGCCGTTTCGCCCTCAGCAGTACGCATCAACGATTCTACCTCACGAGACTCGAACCCAAGACGTATCAGTCTCATGCACGAGCGCTTAACAACTAGACTACTGATCCGGCATCCAATAGTAAATAAATTTTGTAATTTCCAAATCATCTACTTATATATTTTATCATTTGTCATTATTTTGAACTTTATATGGATCATTTCAAGTTCTATAGTTTGTTTTATAATAGTAAATAATGATGTTATCATTGTCATTAGTTGTAAACGTTAACTAATAATTGATTGTTGAACATTATTATCAACAATAACAAAAAATAATAATAATATTCTGAACTATTTTGACGGGTTAATTAGTGTCTTTAATAAATAAAAAAACAAACAAACGAAAAAACAAAAGTTTTCTTTTATTAAACTACTCAAAACTATATTAGTTTCACTTTAGACTCACCTGTCTATTTATCTAACATCATTATACCTGTCTATATAATATTAACTAATAATTTGTACTTTTCATATTTATTATTTATAATAAGTTTAAAGTGGATTGTATTATTAATACACACGGTACTACTACTGCTAATATTACTAATACTATCACCATCACCACCACTATTATCACCAATAATAATAATACAAAAAATACTACTACTACTACTAATAATAATAATAAAATCACAGTTTTAATCATACTAATAATTCTAAACTATATATCATCTTTATATTCCACGTGGTATATATCAGTATACTGCGTATCGAAAATAAAAATGGTGTTTATGTGTGTATGTGTATGTTTATCGTGCGTACGTGCTTGTATGTTGGTGTTAGTTAAATTTTAAAAATTTCGATAATTTCATAATGTTATTTATTCTATCGTGTAGTTAGTTATATATTAAGACAATAATCATTATCATTATTATTAATAATAAATATTATTATTATTATTAACATTTTTGTCAAATATCAGATTTCGAGTGTAGCATATAAGTTGTCAAATAAAAAAAAATTAAAATAAAAAAAGAGAAAATAAAACAAACAATCATTATCATTTCCTTTTTACATTCAATTCTAATATAATTTTAATTAAGATTATTTGAATTATTTTAAATCTATTATCAAAGAATATATAAAAAGAAAATGTATGATATTGGCCTATATTAAAATATTATAAAAATCAGGTAATTGAATTATTGATTTTTATTTTGAATTTATAATCAATATTCAATTCGTTTTTTGTTTTGTTTATTCATATTGATTATGAATATAAAAAATAATATGAATATTTAAAGAATCTGATTTAATAAGAATAGAGAAATGAAAATAATTCCACTGTAGAAATTTTGAATAGTTTACTTATCATGTTAAGTTTTATTATTATATATCATGTTGTACAAGGTTATTATGTATTTTAATAAATAAATAGTATATATACAATTAAATTTTATCAATACACAAAACAGTTTTTAAATTAAAACATAAATAGGAAGTTTTGTTTATGTATATAAAAAAAATTGGTATCTTATCCAAGATCTTTACTGAAATATTTTAAACTTGAGTAAGTCAATTTAATAATTGAAGACGAACACTATTCCATATGTATCTAAGTGTTATTTTGTGAAGCTACTAATAAATACGCATACTGATAAATAAGTTTAATCAAATGATCTGTTTTTAAATACATAATACAATTATGTACATTTTTAACATGAAAACTGTGATTTTCATAGTTTATTATGAGAAATTATCCTTGAAATTGTTTCAAAAGCGACTAATTTTCGTCAAAATTAGTCTAATCTAGTGAACATTTGGGATTTAATAACTAATATGTTCGCTAAAAGAAAACTAAATCAGTGTCTTATACCACAGCAAAGCCTATTTTGGCAACCTTATTGTTAAGAAGCACTCAACACACCACTAAACATATTGTTGTGTATTCTAAGTAATCTCATGTCTATTAGCTAATTATTTTTAACAGATGGTTGATATTTTTTATTTAAAACTTTAATATAACTTATTGATTGGATAGTGACAAAACAACAGAACTATTTGTCAATTAGTAAGACTCAGTTAATTAGTTAAGGAAACGTCTTTGACATCAATTCCCACGTTTAGACCTATGTATGTGACTTGAGTATTTTTTCATCGTTATTCATATTATCAAAACACAATGAAATAGTTCGTCTATATCCAATCTAATTCGAAACATAAGTAAGTTAAAAGTTGGCCTCCAGTATATTGTATATTACAGAACAATATGAATTTTACGTAATAAAGATAGGATTTTGTTGATAAGTTGCCAAATGGAACGAACAGAAAACTCGGTTTATTATGGTCAACAAATGTCTTTATTTAATAAAATATTTGTTAAATGTAGGAAGAAAGTTATTTGCACTACATACCATACGGTTAACTAACTATACTTTAAACAGTATGTACAGAATTTTAGTCATGACTGAAATATTCAAAACAAATGAGTGTAGTTAATATATCTGCAAGATCTTTATTGCATGATTGTTTATAATACTCAATGTTCAAGTTATCTTCATTAACACTATTCAATATGATTAATTTATCATTATGAATATTTGTGATACAATTATTGAAAACTAAATAAATCCTGATGAAATTTTATGCTTTCCATCTATGTTTATCCATGGTTTAGTATAAGAATAATATTAATCAAGTTTCATCACATTTTATACATTTTCACCCTAATATGATGACATATCATAATAAAAAATAATTTAATTTCCATGTTTCATTTGAAATGAGTAAATTTTTATCGAATTTCCGGCTTTCTTTTTTTTTGTTGTTGTTTCTACCAAACATGTTAAGTGAATTAGTTAAGTTGCCAAGAAAAAAAAGTAGATGTTTGTTTCTTTAAATTTTCAATTAATAAATTTTATTGAAAATCATTTCAATGATTTTATTTATTTAATCAGTTCATATTCATCATGTTCACAATTATACACTTCATATAAATCATCAATGATGTTATTTTTTGTCTTGTTTTGAAAAATCTGATCTTAGATCTTATCTTGTTTACATTTTTGTAACAAAACAGTTATCTATTAGTTAATATAGAATGTTAATATAGAAAAAAAAGAGACTGAATAAATAAAATAATCAACGTTTATGTTTATTTACAATTATTTATTTAATTAATCTCTAAGTTTGTTTATTTTTTTTATTTATTATACAATTTTGTTGGTTTGATTAACCTTGAAATTTATGTATATAAGACGATATACGATTAATTCAAGTTTCAATGAATTGTATTAAGTATAAATGAAAATAAATGAAAACAAAGGGGAAATTTTAATTCAATAAACAATGTGGTTAATTAAAGATAATTGTCAGTATTTCATGTTATTAGTACTTGAAATACAGATCACTAGGTTTCTATTAATTCATGATATTTTATGGAATATCAAAATATTAAGTAAGTAAAGTACAATTTACGTTAATATACAATGTTGTTTCTATGAATTTGTATAAAGGTAAAAGATTTGTTGATTAATTTTTAAGTAACTGTACTGTGTTATTGATTGTAAGTCTTAAAAATGTTTTGATTCAATTTGGATAATAGTTATGAATCTCATAGTTTAGATGTACATAGACTTAATTTTGTGTAGTAACAACTTTTGTTGTGTAAATGTCATGAAAGACTAAACAGTAATAACGTTAGGGTTGAGAAATTTTATACTGTGTTGAAATAGCTGTTTGAATTAGTTAAGTGTACCATGATTGTTTAGCTATAGTTAGTTTGTGATGTAAATTATCTTTAAATTGATTGATATCTTTAAAATCGAATCAAGAATATTTGTAAAACATTTGCTAGAGTTTTTTCATTCCATTGTTTTTTGGATGTGATTTTGAAACAAAATTGGGGAAAAATATTGATAACAATTTTTTGTAAATAAATCTTTTGGCTCGATAGTATATTTGAGAAATAAAAATACTAAGGTATATAAACTAGAAATGATTAATCTAATCAAGAGAAATTGGAAATAATCTAAGAAATTATCATTTCTTTATGGTGTATTAAATTTTTTTAACATTCAAATGTTTCTAATATGAATTCACAAACCCATTTAATACCTACTTAAATGTCTATCAGCATAATTTCTGTAGATGAATTAATATATATATGATACACTTTCTGGGTTCACAATGTTTAGCTTATGAGAAATACATTATAATATATTCTTATATAAGATGTACTGAATACTTGTTTGTTGGGAACATTGACTTATTTTATGAATATAGGTTGAATTGTAAGGAAGGCTTTACTGACTAGTAGTATTATTAGATTCGAATCTGCGAAAGTCAGTCAACTCTATGGCTCCGTTATCTTGTATTTGGTGTGAGAAATTAACATGATTTAAGAATTTACTGAAGTTTTTGTTACTTTTTGATGTAAATCATTTTTACTAGATAGACGTTTAAAGCCACATTGTTTGTATGAGAATAAGTAGTACCATCCTAAAGTTGGCTGAGAGTGATCCTAAACTGCAACATATTGCCAGAAAGAGAATATTTTAGCAACTAAATCACCGTCTTATAATACTCATTTCATCTTTCAAGAATAATAAACCTTAAAATAAATCATTTTGTAACAGTTTGAAAGTCGTTGAGATATTGGTTTTTCCCGAAGTAATCTATAAAGCTTTTCATAGGTACATAAACTACTAATCTGTTTACTAGTTTAAATTTGAAATTGCGAAAAGACACCTCTCGTCTGCTGTTTATGTAATTTGTATCTGTAAATAATTCGTGATTTATAGTTATTGATTATTCATTGTGAAATGACAGTGAGATATACACGTCTTGAATTCTTTTGTTAGTCCACGGTCATTTCAACCTTGAATATCAACAACAGCAAAGTGAACACTCATAAATCCAATGAAACATTTTTATCTTAAGATTGAAAACAAAACTGTACACTTTAAAGTTTTTGTACACAGGCTATTTTAACAGAAAAACATAGTTTTACCAAGTAATCCTCCTGATGTTCAATTAAAGGTGCATATTTGAATTCATGGAATAGTAAGTTTGCCCTTGGTACGGTTTACCGGTATAATATTGTTTACTTGCTTATTTGTTCATCATACATTTCAAAATTATTCTGTATGGAAACAAACATGTTTCATAAACTCACCTCCCTGCATTTGATAATTTAAAGCATCGACAAAATAAGTGTTACATGAAAGTGGACAAAAGTGGGAACCTAATTTATTCCTTAAAACTAAAGGAATTACTTTTGAAATTTAGATAGATTTTTTCTGTATCACGTAGAATATGATAGGCAGATAAATATATTAATTACGTGATTATTCTGTTAGGTTTAGGGTTATTTAAAAGTAAGAAAATTAAAATTTACTCACCAAGCAACATAACAGATAATAAATCTCACTGATCATAGTTTCATTTTCAAAAACCGTATACATTATTATTACAGTAAGTTTGAACAGTTAAGAACAGTCTCAATGGTAGCCACATACAGTGAAGTGACTCTACCATTGTTATTAATCAGTATGAGTTGTAAACCTTTACCCCTGTATTTTTTGATGGCAAAGAATTGAGCTGCATAAACAGATCTTAGTTTAAGAGGAAGTAAGCGGCCTGAATAATGCAACACTTTTCAATGAATTATAAGATCTTGCAATGTATACTTCTGTGTTAATATTTTGTATATGAGCATATTATTTTGCAAAAGAAAAACTTTTATTGACTGATGATCTTACAAATCCTATACATATCATATTAGGATAGATGAAAGCACCATTGAGGTAGGATAGTTATTTTTGAAGGGTTGATACAAAACAGTTACGAAATATTTACCACAGAAATCGTGTCTACATGATTGGCAAGAAGATATATGTCTATAGATAACCTTGGGTGAATAATCTTTTTTGCGTAAAGTTATAACTGTATGAAGCAAACATTTTCGTCATTAAACTTGATCGTTTATCGAATTATATCCAATATGTGAAAATCTTATCATTTACTTATTACTATTCCTAATTATGGATTATATTTTATCTAATCTGATCAACGTGCCTACGGATAATATTAAAAACCAAAGTCCTAGGTAGGAATGATTCTATAAAAAGAACAATGTCCTAAATGATTGGATCCAGATCAGTTCTATTCCCTTTAGTATGGTGAACTAAATGTAGTTGAAAATACAATCAATCAGGATTCCGACTTTGTGAATTGTGTAACTTCAAATCAATAAGTTACCAAATTAGGTTTCACTTACGAATATCGCTATCACTCTAAAGGTCATTTCACATAATGTCATGTAATTAGTTCACATTCTTGGCATATTCATTGGCATAATGACTATAAAGATACTTTTTTATTTCTGTAATTAGGCAAACTTCAAGAAAGAAAGGATCATCAATTCATATGGTCTTTATTAGTATTATTGATTTATTTACTTGATTTTCGAATACTTTTAAAAATCTAACGTATACTCTTTCGTACTATAAAACGAAAGCATAAATTTTTAAATCTAAAAAATATTATTCAACCGTAGCATCTATGCCATTGATTATTTTAACGTGACTCTAGTAAACCTGTAAATAGCTCTTGTCGCCAATATTTTAATTTATGTATATGATGACAACCCGCTAATGTTATGAATATATGAATAGCTACAGAACAGCAGACTATAATTTTCATTTATTAATATATATATTGATAGAGGTGCAAGGCCACACAATTTCATAGATATCTCTCTTAAATACACAGATTAAATTGATAATGAGGATATAAATAACTTAAGATTATACCATCACCCAACTAGTTCTTACTGTAATCTATGTGATTATGCATGATTTGGTGATCAGAATACTACAAAGCTATCTTTCGGGTGTGTGTGATGGCCTCTATTGTTTGACGATATATATAATGAATTCATTTGTTTAACTGACGGTATATATGATAATTTAAAAACATTTTCGATGGCGACCAGCTGTGATTACTAGGATTCGTTTTTCCTTCCATCCATCGTTCGAGTATATATATATATATATATATATATATATATATATATATATATATAGTCTTACAATTTCGTTTCGATTAACACTAAGTTTTGTGTTTAACTTTTCTTTCAAATATTAAAATAATTTTCAATATGAAATATGATCTTTGTGAAATAACTAATATGAAATGATTTCATACACTTTTGCCTTTCAAAAACTACTGTGTTAATACTGAAAGTACCTAGAAATCAGTCACCAGGTTTTGTATTTTACATAAACCAGATTTTTCTTTTATTTGCAAGCAGATAAAATATTCTGCCGTTGATGTTGTAGTCTTCGGTTAATCAGTCTTTTGAAGAAAAAGGTAATAGGTTTCATTCTTTGTAAAAAGTAACACATAGATACAGCCATATTTAGCTGACGAATACTGAATAAGACGAAATGGGATTATAGTAGTATCTTCCAATTAGTCTGGCATTTATTATTTCAGTTGACGGATATTCACTAAGAAACAGTATTACATTTCTCAAAGTGTTTTGTGATTAAAGGCGAAAAGTTTTAAAAGTCAGTTCAGCTTACTGCTTTATTAACGGTCTAATAACTGTGATTCGTAATAATACTAGGTTTGTTGATTCAAGAAATCTTGTCTAAATAAAATGACTGTAATATTTTCAGCTTCAGCAATGTAGACCGCCGGATGTCAACTTTATGATCTAAAGATAGTTCAGTAAACAATTAGCCTGGTGGTCTTTTTCCTCCATCTAACGTAGCCGTACATTCGCACCTCTAGTTCTGTTAATAGACTAAAACAGCTCCCAAATGTTTTCTGGTTCTTGAAGAATTTGGAACATGCTGTAAATTATTTACAAATTGCGTAAATGCAAATTAACAGAACATTGCTGGAAATGTTTAGATCTTTAGTTATAATACAGCAGGGGTTCTAAATACGTCATCATATTCACATCCTAACAAACGTAATAGATAACACATGGTTTTCTTCCTAATTTGTGAGCATTTTAAGATTTATCGATTTCTAATCAAAGTCTGGATTTTGTCTTTTAATTACTTCAAGGTTTTAGACCAGTTGAAAATAAGTATTTCATGGAAAATGGTTTATTTGACATTGAAAAGCATCAAAAATTCAGTTGAAGACACTATACAACTGGTTTTACATAATATTTAAAAAAAGTAGGGAATAGATTCTTGCATGCAGGTTTGTGATGTTTGCTATGTGCACTGTATAAAACGTTTGACGTTATTGAGATGACTTCACTATTCTTATATGGAATATTTAGCTGAGCACTTATGGAAGTTAACTGGTGTACAGTACCGGTTTTTTAAATTTTCATGTGTTATTATAAATTTTTCTGAGTGATCAAATGGATTACAAAGAATGGTTTTATACTTTATGACGAATGTACCAGCTAGTCAAAAAGTAGATAAATTT